ATCCATCCATCCATCCATCCATCCATCCATCCATCCATCCATCCACTTTATCTGCTTCTTTCTTTTTTTCTAATAAAAATGTCATTCACGTTATTTATTTATTTTACCTCCACTGCATCAAATATTTTCAACAACTTCAAACATAGATGTAAAGTTTTAGATTTGATTCTATCTTTCATAATTCATTTTCATTTTCTACCATTTTTGTAATTTTGTTGAAAAGTGGAATATTTGTCAAGGCACCTGTGACTGGCAGGAATTCATCCCCTTGTCCTTCGTGTCCCTCAGAGGAAATCACTGCTAGTAATATCTTCCTCATCCTGCTCACTCTCTTTAGAGGACTGCTTCCTTAAATAGATAACTTTACTAATTGGCATTTATAATGTATATGAATATTTCTGTACATTACCCTGAGATACTACCTCATAATTTCTGCTTTGGTCACATTACATCTGTATTATAATTGAATACTCCATCTGTACTGTTTTCTAAGCTTTTTTATTGTTTCTATTGTATGGGTGTACATATGGTTATGTTATGGTTTTAATTTTACTTTATTTGTGGGTGTACACAGGCTTATGTCTTATGTAATGTTCTCATTTTTACTTAATTTTTACTTTATTTTTACTTTATTTTACTTTACTACTATTCGCACCTTATGTCGAAGCAAATTCCTAGTTTGTGAACCTCGTTCATTGACATGGCGATAATAAACTGATTCTGATTCTGATTCTGATAACTTGTGCTCAATTCAATTGAATTGAAAAATTGTAGCGCTTCCTCGACTGTGAGTCAAGTCATCTGACCTGAAGCCTGTTTTACATTTATTTTGAAGGTAGAGCCTTAGAATAATTAGACATTCATTAAAAAAACAAAAACAAAAAAAAAAACATTGTCATGATTATGCTACAAAAAACGTGGTTATAATGGGAGTTAATGGGACCAGATGCACATTGGTATATTGTGCAGATCTCATATTATGTACATCTTACAACAGAGAAGATCATGAAATCTTATAAATAATATGCAAAACAAATCCTGACCAAGTTTCATGAAATTAGTCTTTAAACTGTTTGACATGTTGAGAATCAAAAATATTAATTAAGCAGAATCTACAGATTTGGTCCCCTAAGGTGCTTTGAGGGTTAAAGTTTATTAAAGCAACATTTGCTGCTGCAGACAATGATATTTACAGTGAAGTCTTATTTTCTCAACAAGGCAGTGGTAATTCATACCGTACTAAATAAACTGCACAGCCAGGATACAAAAAAGACAGCTTTTTTTTAAATTAAAAAATACATAAAGCAAAATAACACAAAGATAAACTTCTGTATCGTGCATGGAAAAGTAAACATTTAAATTTGATTAAATTTATAACTATACAAGTTTTTCCCCATAAAAATGAGTTAGCTGAATCCAATTTAATGCAAATAAATAACCTGTTTCGACATCTGAGTTGTTGAAATACTTATACTTTTTATTTTAATCAAACAAAATGTTACTGAGCAGAAGATTGGATTTTTAATTTTTTTTTATTTACTATATATAGACATCCTAGGTTTTTAATCTAACCCCAGACATCTTTTTGTGGGTTCCCCCTCATTGATGTCTCAGTTCAGACAACTAATTATCAAGAAGTTCATTCAGGTTCAGTGTGAAAACAGCATAATACATTTGTGTATAAATGAAACTACAAAAAAAAAAAAAAAAACCTTGCGTAATTTATACATTCTCTTAAATAAAGGCATAGAAAGAGGGAGCGACACAACTGCAACTTTGTATTTTCATTTATTGCTTTCACAGCTTCAAAACAAGCATTATCACTACGGTGTTTTACTATAGATTCTCTTAAATAATTCATTCAGTAAAAAATAAATCAGAATCTTGTTAACATCTTACAACGAGATGTATTCATTTTCTACAAATATCTAATAATATCTTACTTAAATGTACAACTGACCAGAATCAAAAAGGAAAACAGCAGGATTCACTGATCTATGTTTAGTCAAATAGAAAGATGTTTGGTATAGGCACAAAAAAACCTCTTTATTGGGGCTTGCTTATGCACAAGTACTGTAAATTTGAGTGAATCGCCCATTTCTCTTCCTTTTTCCTCCGGCACAAGCTTAATATACCTTAGAAAAAGACACATATTGACATCATTTAGTAATGTGCTACGTTGGGCTCGAGAAACAGTGCAAAACAGTTTATAAATATAACACATGCACTGCTTTGTAGAAATGCCTGCATCATAGTTGCGTGTCTGAAACGGGGATAACAGCAGATAATCCTCAAATCTGCGTGTAATATTTGTCCAAACACGCATGTATGATGCGTTCTGTTAGCTTAACATTTTACAGTAGGTGCACATCACTGACTGCAATGATAATATTAATGCACATTGTTTAAATACATCTGTAACATATTTGATACTGTAAAGTGGATTACAGCACAATTCTCCAAAACCCCTGAGTCACACTTCAGAGAAGACAGGCATACATCTAAGGGTAAGAAAACAGTTCTCAAACAATGTGCTGCACTAACAGTTGGTGAAAATAGTTTAACTTACGCAAGCTTTATAGGCTCGAAACGGGCTATAACTTTAATGACCTGGTTCAGCAGTGACGGCTGAGGGTGTATGTGTGGACAGGATCATGCAGTATCCTCCGTCCCAGGAGAGGAAATTCACAGTATGCATTTCCACAGCTTTGTCACAGCCTCGGTGTCAAGTGCGTTGCAACAATTTTAGAAACTGGGGGAAAAGAATAGCTGTGTCATCGTTTTTCCACTGCTGCAACAAAGTCACCTACACATACTTCAGGTACACAAAGCAGTGCCAGGCTTTGCTTTGGCTCACACCGTCGTTTCAAAGTCTCGGGCTGCATAGGTCAACTGTCTGAACAAACATCTGCGCTCGCTAGCTGCCAGCCAGACGTGAAAAAGATTAATGGGCTGTCACCATTCAGAATTCAGGATCTTTAAAGGAAGCTTACTTTTTTTCTTGGCTGCTTTTGAGTGGTTCAAATCAAAAGATCCACATTAAACAATAAGTAGCTGCACATGATTGATGCTTATTTTGTCTGTTTTCTCCATTCAGCCCAGAAAGTGCTGGAATCAAGTCAAAGTCTTAAACATCTGAGGATAACGGAGCCTGCAACCTTTTGTGGCCACTGCTTTAAACCAAACAACTATAAGTGGTAATTTGGTGGCTATTTTTCTCCAGAAACACGTCTTTGCTTTGGCCTTTGCTTTGTACTTAAGGGAATAGTTCGGTTTTTTATAGCTCACTGCCATTAAAGGTGAGTGATTTGTAGGCCTGTCGCGATAAACAATAGATCAACTAATCGCACGATGAATAAAAATATTGACCTCATTTTCATTTATCGGCTTTATCGTTTCTTCGTGTCTCTCTCTTTCTACTGAAGACACAGCTCAACTCCAGTGCTCTTCAATGACCCCTCCCTTTCTCTTTAAAATCTGGATTGTTGAGCATGGACTTTGTTGTTTTAACCGTATAAAATCTCGTTTTTGGATCGTTAAATGCAGCTAAGCTGAGAAGCCTAGCTACGAGCTAAGCTAACAGGCCGACCTCAGGAAAAAAACCTCTGTCTTGTCGAAGATCAAAGATTTACGGTTGAAACCCGTGCCTTTGTCTAAAAAGTTGTTTTTCTCTGCAAAAAGAAGCTGAGAACTTGTTTACTGGCTTTTGATCAAAAACTTTGTGTGAAAAAAGCTGCGCTAAAGAGCTCAAACCACACCGAGGGTCCTTTGAGAACCGAAAAACAGGAATAAGAGATAGCCCATGTCACGTCAGGGGGCCTCTCTCCCATTTTTCTTAAAGAGACACGCTGTGCGCTCCCTCACTATCCATCCTTCGGTTCAAACAGTTTTATACTGCCATCCAGTGGTCAAAATAGGCACTACTCACAAATTTGACAATTATTAATTATTGTCAAATTTCAAACAATATTATCGTTTATCGCAATAATTTCTGAGACAATTAATCGCCCAGCAAAATTTGTTATTGTGACAGGCCTAGTGATTTGTCTTTCTGTTAGCAAAATATCTCGTGAACCAGAGGAAACATTTTAATGAAACTCTCAGAAAGTAATCATTGAATGTTAATTTACAACTAATTAAATATTTTACTTAATCTATGTCAAGACATCCATTACAGTATAGCTAAATGACCTTAGCAAACACATGTTAGCTTACTTAATTTTATGGATACTGAGCTAAAACTTGGTGTGGTAGCAGCTGAGAATCACCTCTAACACATTCTGTTTCATTAAAAATCTATGTTTGAAATTTGGTAAACAGGCGGTATGCATCCCTTCAAGAAATGCTTGTTCAATTTAAAGTGATATTGTGTGAAGTTGTCATCAGTTTGGGATGTCAGGTTTACTCAAGAAAGAACAGCTAATGGTTAGCTACAGTTACAGCGGAGCCAGCTAAATAAAATGTCTGGATTTTAAGTCCAAATTTTAAAGCAGCTCATGCAAATGGTATTTTATCAACATTTGCTTTTCAATCACTTTTGCAGTTAGATACTTGGAAGTCTATGGTTATTAACACTGGAGACTGAGTCAGTCTGCGGTTCATTCCCAGCAATGGTCTTTGTGTAACCCAATACCAAACAAGACACATTAAGCATAATGGGGCAGAGAAGCAGTCTGATGGAAAGGTAAGAGGCTGTAAAATTAAATAAAATGACATTAACTTAAACCACTATAATCACTGAGCTTTCACACTGTATTACTTCTGAATCAGATGGTTTTTCTGCCAGTTTATACATAATGTTTTGCAAAATAAGCTTCACATAGACCATTACTGGTGACTCAGGGACAGTCGACTCAGTCTTTAGTTTAAATACTCATAAACTTCTACATGTAAATAATTGCCTAACGCAAAAGTGACTAAAAGTACAGGCTTAGAAATTAGTGTTCAAATGAACTGCTCAGAAATGTCAGAAATCGGAGATAAGATGGCTGAAGAGACCCCTCAGATTGGACACTTCCCTGTCTCCCTTGAGAAACTTCTTCCTGCTATCCCAAACTGAAAATACTTTGAGTACGTTCTACTGCAGGTAAGACAGTGACTGTTGGTAAAAACTCCACAGAGCACCACTTAAACCAGTCTGAACTACCCTTTTAATAGAAGTTGTGACTATGTGTGCCTCCATTCTCACTGTCTCCAGTTTCCACATCAAAAATTATTAAAAAACATGATATCTGGCAGTAGGACTGTATTTTTGGCAGAATTGCAGACACCAACCAAGCATGCTTATCTTTTCTACATTTTTTTAATTGGACTATTGAGGCTCAGCTGGCTAGAGTCACTGGTAAGTTGTGGTGATCTTTGCATGGTAGTAGGTAGTTAATACAAGACCCATATATCAGTGCACTGGTGTGATGCACGGATGTTGGAGGTGCTGGTCCGTCAGACTCGTCCTGTGTGAGGTAGATCAGTCTGTTCTTGTCCAGAAATGTAAGGGAGGGACAAATCTAACTCTTCTTATTCTGGTCTGGTGAGTAAAGATGTTAATGGAAACAAACTGGGGACACCAGATTTCCATGCAGTAGGTCATACGGTGTCAGACTTTGTGACCAACTGTGTGTGCACGGACATTAAAAGCTGAAGAACAGTCACAAGAAGAAGCCCACCTGAGTACAGGGCTTTGCTGGAACAGAAAGTTGTCTAAGTTTCTAAGATGACAATATTATTAAAAGCATCCCTGAATTCAGCGAGACTCTGTGGTGAAGGATGTGCAGTCTCCACTGGGGTGAGGAGGTTCAGAGGAATATAACCAGGCATCTTCATGAACATTACATTTGTGAAATGAAAACGAGTGATTTGATCCAGTTTAGTTATTAAGCTGGCATCTGCTGAGAACCGATTCTTATGTCCTTCTTCTTAAATGCAAAAACAGTGTTTCATCCACATGCACATTAAAATGAAAATCTTATTTCCATATAGCCACTGCGAGTTAACAAGACAGATGGCTGTGCCAGCATGCTGATTAAAATAAACAAAAGTGCTACATAGTAATTACAGCATTATTACCCCAGTGTTGGAACGTGGTGCTCCTGAAAAGTTTATGGCCTTGGAAAGTCTGGGTCTGAGGCGAGTCTGTGGCGTCTTTCGATGCTGTGGCTGGGGTCAGAAGGCGGCGCAGAGGAACAGGAGGCAGGAGAGAGTTCAGCTGGAGGAGAAATCAGTGCCGACTGTTGGTGCACGGTGATCTGTTGCTGCAGCGCATGCTTGTCTGCATGTCTCTGTTTAAAAACGACTGCTGTAAGGCTGTCTTCGTTCACAATGGCCAAGCTGTGCACGGAGTCTTTGGATTCCTGAATGGCTCTCTCCAGTTTATAACTGGGACCCTGAGAAGACACAGAAAGAAAGCATAGGCTCGAGTTCCACAGAGTCTAATGCGATTTATTAAACAAAACAGTAGTCGTCTAATAAAAACAGCATCCGTACTTGAGTGCTGGCATGGCTGAAAAGATGGCTTGCAGTCAGAGCGACTGGCTGAACCTTCACAGCAGGTCTTTGATAGTTTGGACTGGCAGTCACAGTGCTGTAGGCGGGGGGTCCGAGAGTCGGCTGTCTCTGCAGCATTTGCAAGATGGTCTGAATATCTGAGATCAGCTGTGACTCCAGCCTTCAAAAAAAAAAAAAAAAAAAGATCAAAACAGTCAGCTAGACGCGCTGTAAGACAGACATCTTGTTTAATCCAAGACAAGAGGAGTTAAATGTGATGAAGGTGTGATCCTGGCTGAGCCTGATGAGGGCTGAACAGTAGATGGAGCTTCTGCTCCTTACTGGGGGACAAATGAAGAGACTGTAAAGGTGTGGAAGTACATCGAGGAAGAGTAGTCGATGAAAGGCACTGATCTGGCCAGGAGTGATAACGAGCCTCGTGTGGGAGGTGTGACTTCAAGGTTTATTGTGGAAATTACTTTATAATTTCTGTTTAGTCAGTTGTAGACATCATTCAAACTCTAAATTATATATATTAGGAAAAACATAGATGTAATGGACAACATGTTGGTGGTTATTTATAATAATCTCTAAAACAAAGTGTTATATCACCAGTTTTTCTCCCTGCTGTATGATTTAGGACTATTTAAAGCCAGAAAAAACACAATACGACCGAAAAGTGCCGCTGATCCTGCAGCCAGCGTGCATTAGGGGAAAAATAAGGTCAGGTGTACAGCAGAGGATAAAATGTCTTATTTGAGCTTAATAAATTGAGCTGGTCCAGTATTTTAGGCATCCTCGTGTTATCTTTCCTTCTCTGTGGTAATTCCAGCTAAAAATAACTCCTGCTGTTTATTTGTATCTCGGTCTCACGTGGCAGCTGGCGTGTTTTTGATTTTATGGATGATGCATTTCTTAAAATAAAATAAAAATGTTGATTTCTGGAAAAACATCATATCGGTTTGTGATTTTTATTTATTTATTTATTTTCAGTTTTGTTCTGAGTTATCTGTTTAATGGTACGTCTGAAGTCTAGAAACAGAGCAGAGACTTTGCATCAAATTGCTCTCAAGTTTAAAATCCTCCAGCCTCCCACTTCCTACAAGAGATTCTGGCTGCTAGTTGTCTCCTTCCACCTACTCATAAACATTCAGTGCTTTTCTGCGTACTTTTAACAATGTGGGAGGTGACAACTATAAAAATAAAGCAGTTATTAACCGTTAAAAGAAAAAAAGTGACACAAATTGGGTGGAAATGTAAAAAATGCCATACTGACAATCTGGCTTTTCTGTTTCATGTTTCTAACCTAAGGCCCTGTTCAAACCTTGCATTAGAAATCCATCCGATTAGATTGCAAGTGGTCATTTCTGATTGAGAGCGTACCCACCTAGTAGTAAATGTGTATCCTAACACATTCTTATGAATGGTTATAGGTATCTGTTCTGTATGTACAGTATATGGATACAACTCCAGGGTTCTCAAAGTCAGAGTTTCTTTGTCATCCGCACCACATGTGTTACATGTAGTGGAACAAAATTGTGTACACAGGGTCCCAGTTACATCCAACAATAAAACTGTAAAAGAAAAACAGTAATAAGATCTAAAATATGAACTAAGAAAAATGTTAACTAAAAATACACTAAGCACGAATAGCAAAAAAAGCAATACGCCAAACAGCAGCATGAGCACGAGTCTGTGTGAATAGATGAGCACGAATGAACAGCAGCAACAAGAAACAGATCAGCAGCAACATGAAACAGATCAGCAGCAACATGATGTGATTTTTCACAGTGATTATTCTGGTTAGAGATTCATGAGTCTAACAGCCTCAGGGTAGAAGCTGTTCCTCAGTTTAGTGGTTATACACTTAATGCTCCTTAACCTCTTTCCTGAGGGGAGTGTGGCAAAAAGTGTGTGTGCTGGGTGAGTGGGGTCCTTCAAGATGCAGGTGGCCCTCTTCCTGCATCTAGAGGTATAAATGTCTGTGATGGTGGAGAGTCTGATTCCAACAGACTTCTGTGCAGCCTTCACCACTCTCTGCAAAGCTTTTCTTTCTGCAGCTGTGCAGCCTCCATGCCACACGTTGATACTGGAGCACAGGATGCTCTCCACTGCACACCTGTAGAAGGAGGTGAGGACTGAGCTTCCCAGACCAGCTCGTCTCAGCCGCCTGAGGAAGTAGAGTCTCTGATGAGCTTTCTTGATCAGGCTGGTGGTGTTGTTGCTCCATCTGCGGTTGTCATTCAGGTGCACACCCAAGTACTAGTAGCTGGAGACCACTTCCACCGCAGATCCTCCAGTGTTCATGGGGGTAGGTGTGTTTGTTCCTTCTCAAGTTCACATTCATGTCCTTTGTCTTCTTCACATCGATGTGGAGGTTGTTCTTCTAGCACCAGCTCTCCAGGTGTTCCACCTCCTGCCCGTAGCTGGACTCATCATTGCTTGTGATGCATCCCACCACCGCTGTATCATCTGCAAACTTTACAATATGACAGCCTGGATGGGTAGCTGCACAGTCATATGTGAGCAGAGTGAACAGGAGGGGGCTCAACACACAGCCCTGAGGGGAGCCAGTGCTGACGGTTATGGTGGAGGAGGAGAAGTTGTGGATCCTCACTGACAGAGGTCTGTTTGTTAAGAAGTCTAGGACCCAGTTGCAAATGGAGGGGCTTAGTCCCAGTGTGAATAGTTTGTCCATCAGGGTTTGGGCGATCATGGTGTTGAAGTCCACAAAGAGAAAGTCCACAAAGACAATTGTCTAATTGTCATTAGCTGTCTTTTGCACAGCTTCACTGTGAACATAACACTAGCGTTTAAATAAGAGAATGCATTGTGACATAGCGCTGCTCAAACTGTTATTTTGCGATTAACACACACATTATTTCAGCAGGTCCATCCAGCTCGAAAACAATCAGAACAAATGTTAAGCTGAAGAGAAACTCACCATGCAGCGATCATTAATAATAATTATTGATGTTGTTAAAGACTACTATTAATAATTCAAAATAATGTATTGAATAAAAAAAAAAACAACATTTTGAAGGATAATAATTCTGAAAAACAGTCCATTAATAACTTTTAGCAAACAAACAAGCAAAAAACTTGTATCTTCAGAATATTTCTAAAGATGGCTGTTTAATTATTTTTAATTAATAACTCTGCTGCTTGTATGGGGTCATGCCAGTTCAGTAGAAAGTTTAACATCAAAGATCAGGGTGAACTGTAATAAAACCAAACATATGCAGATAAAACCAGTCCAGACCACTTCCAGAGGTGGTTGAATGAAAACATTTTCAGTGTACATCATCATGAATTTTATACAAGTGGCTTTACGCTTAAATGTCCCCCCCAATGTTTGACGTGTCAGAAACAGGTGGATCTCTGGAATCAAATCAGTGTCAGAATTAATTAAGAACTTCATATTCTGTTATGGAAATTTAAATTTGGTAAAACATGAGCTTAACATTTATATAAAACAGGTTTTAAGAAGATAACATGAATGTGAAACATGTTCAATAAAAAAATACATTCAGGATTTACAACAAGCAGAAAGTTGCTCAGACGTAATCTGGTAAAGTCTGTATCCTGGTGGAATTCATAGTTTATGGCAGTAAAATGAGAATACATTTTTACTTGGCTGACTCCAAAAACTTGTACCTGTTTAAGTGCTCCTGAAGTTGACTTAAGCGTTGCTCCACCTCTCCGTACGTGACTTCGCTGGCTGAATTATCCTCCTCTCGCAGGTCCTGGAAGTGTGCTGACTCATCCAGGTATTCTGTGTGCTTCTTGGAGGCCCATTTATCACAGCGCAGATCTGAATAACCAAACCAACACACATGGCTCACTTTTTCACATGTGGGCCAGAACAACGCCATCTCCACACAAAAAGAAACTAAAATAGAATGTAATTAATCTCGGCAGGAAAGCTGTGTGTATGTTCTTTCTGGTAATTTATCAAGCTTTTGTAGCAGGACAACTATTATAGCAATGTTTGCCCTGTTGTTATCTCTGTTGGGCACATGGCACTTTTCAGTCTGCTGTCCTCTGATATCTGCTGTGCCCCTTTTGTGATTTTAAACAGTGTTGTGCCCCTTTTGTAGTTTTAAGCAATGAGGAGATTATTTGCACAGCTTGTTCTACCTGCACAAACCACCATTAATCTAGTGGTCTGTGCAGTGGGCTTTGTGCTAACATGAGTTGTACAGGTTAAGTAGTTTAATCTTGAGAGGTTTTTTACTACGTCTCCTGTTGTTCACATGGATAAAGATGGAATTTGTACTCTAAAGACACTAAATGTTAAGTGCAATTTGCGCTGTTGAGCTAAGACTGTGAATTAACAAGAACTGCTGTAAACTCTCATATAAAGGTATGAAAACCTCTTGAAAATTATATGATTTCAGACACCCTAAAGCTGATATTTGTAGCTCTCACTGATGCTAATTAATTTCACTAATAACTAAATCTCCCCATTGATGCTAATGTTTCAGCGATACAAGTCAAGTAGATCCAAAGTCTGTAATAAATATTCTAATTGTACATCTTGGTCTTTTTTTGAAAGTATAAGTTTGAAACGTTCGAAGGTAAAGGTGAATATTTCCAGATTATGTCATTTTTGTAATCTAACTGGACATTATTAGTAATCAGCACACCTGCTCTTTATAGTGTGATTATTTCCCCTCTCTGCTTATATACTCTTAGTTTTCCTTTGGACACTGCCAAATCTCTCTCTCTCTCTTTCTGTGTCTCTCTGTCTCTCTCTGTGTGTGTGTGTGTGTGTGCATGTTTGATTAGGTCCCATTTGAGGTCTTGAACAAGCATACACACCTGTCATTTGGGGACACCTTGGCAATTGGGGATGTGTGTGCTCCTCCATGCCTTCTTAAGTCTTTAGTTTTTGCAGCATCTTTTCCATAAAATTCCAAGATGTTTTTCCTCCTACTTGCAGTGTCCTGCACTTTGGTCCCCTAACTTCTCAATTAGGACAACTTATTATTCTTCATATTCTTAGTTTTGCGTATTTCTCAGTTCATATCTTAGATTTTATTACTGTTTTTCTTTACAATTTGTACTTATGTTGGATGTAACTGGGACTCTGTTTATACAATTTCATTCTACCGCATGTACCACATGTGGTGCTAACGGCAAATAATAAAAAAAAAAAACTTAGACTTTTCACTTTATGCTTCAAATGACAATTTAGCCACCTAATGTTAGCAAGTCCAAGGTGAAATCATTCACATTTAGAAGTTTCAGTATGCCATAATGAAAGAAAACATGTTTATGTTTGCTCTGATGTCCTAGAGTCAAACAAAGAAATTCAAGTAAAGAAGCAAGGGAGCTGAACTTGCTAATGTCAGAAAATGCAAAACAGCAAGCAAGATCTTTTTTTTTTTTTTTTTACCTCCATCAGATGTTCTTCTGCTCAAGCTGTCTGTGACAATAAGATCCGAGTCTAGGACTGGAACACTCAGTGAGGAAGAACCAAGGGCAATTGAACATCTCTTTAGGCTCAAGTTGGATCCTCTTTCCTTTTGAGCGTCTTTAACCACCTCCTTGTTTTCCTCTGGAGAATAGCAATCAACAGGAGTTAGTGAAATAACACCATACTACATGCCCTAGAGAATACATTTTCTCAGTGAGCACCACTCAGCAAACACTAACAAAGAACATTTGATACTACAAAAGAATGGCCAGCAGATAAGTCTGTACTAACCTTCAGGTACATCCGGGGTGAACGAGATTCTTCTTTTCATGCTTCTGTTGCTCTTACTGTCTGAATCACATCCTTGGACACTAGGGGGCTACAAAAAATAAACTTAATTAAAAAAAAAATGGTAAAAACTTTGAACTTGAAACTAAATAATTATATTAGAATACCAAAAATGTCTTACTACAGTAAATTAAAGCTTTTAAAAAATACCACAAATTACTGTATAGGTTTCCATGGACATTTTTAATATTTCCCACCTTGGTAGATTCATCTCTGAGGTTAAAGGTAAGCTCCAGGTTGTTGAAGAAGTAATGTGAAAACTCAGGGTACATATCAAGCACCTCCAGCAGATCTTCTCTTTGAATGGTGCTCAGGTCGCAGTAACTCAGTGCACGCACATCTGCATTGGACTTCCCAGGCTTTGCAAAAAGATGGATCATTTCTCCAAAAATGTCATTTTTTCCTGTCAGTGACAAACACACATGCAAAGAAAATCCATTATAGTATTTAATTAGTTGGTAACAGGGGAAATATTGACTTTGCCTGCATAACCTTTGTGTTTCAATAAAAGACATTTGTGTTGAAATGTATTAATTTTATTATTATACTCAGTAGAGCTCGGCCAACACATTGGTAGGGCTATAATTTAGATCAATATACGCATTTGGAGACATATTTGTATTGGTGATTGGCTCATTGTGCGCCAATATAAACACCTTCTATTTTCACCCCTAAAATGCTGGGAACGAGCCGCGTCCTTACTTGAAAATGGTGTAATTGTACAATGTGTCCAGCAGAGGGCGCGTGTGTACTACCTTCAAGTCATGGCCATGCGGAACACTTGACTCACAGCACAGCTGAAGCAGGGAGCAATATTGTGTATCGTATTTTGCTGAACATGCAACGTTTATTGTAACTCATTTGTAAAAAATAAATAAATAAATAAATTATCTTCAATCCTCCAACCCGCTTGTCATTAGCTTAGCCTCTCAAGTTAGCAAGCTAACGTTTTGATAGCCTAGCATAGGCCATTGCCTTGTAAAACTTTATCCAGAACAATAAATCTAACGTAGAGGTAAATATATCAGTGTTAGCAACGTTATTTTTGTTGTCCTCAATGAAATGCATTGTTTGTCTGAAATCTTTACGTCTCTTGCAAAGAAAAAAAAAATGCTGCTGTGGTCACTACTAATTAGGCCTTCACCATCTGTGACTGACTAAACACTGAACAGGGAAGGGCATTTCTTTAATATATATTTTTGTAACACACTTGATAACTTTATGGTGAATAGTGGAGGATAGAAAATGTGAATGCATGTTAGGAAGACTGTTTCAAGACATAACGCATTAAAACAGGTTTAAAATAGCTGTATACTATGATTCTTGGGGGTAGACGAATCTAAAAAATTTCCAGCCAATACATCGGTTATTGGCATTAGCCTTCCCCATCCCAATATCGATATTAACGATAGCCAAAATGTCCATATCGGTCGGGGTCTACTCAAGAGCAGCAGAGGTGTTTGTTTTTGTACCCTTTTCTTTCTCAGAGTATTTTCTCCCAAGGCCTGGGCATCAGCTTTCGCTCTATCTTTGATCTATTATTTATCCCGAGGAATAACCAGTAACACAAAGCAACTTTGATGTGAAGGGGGAACTGGAGGGTTGATAGTAATTGACACACTCCACACGTTGTGCACTTCAAAGGAAAATATTTGGGTTGATAAAACTATTACATAATGAAGCCACTTCTACAGCAAACTTCCTTAATTCCTTGACATCTACTGCACCATAAGCTTAGTTTTCACATAAAAGACTACAAAGATTCTATTGCTTGAATGCGGACCTATTTTTGCAAAGAACAAGCGGTTTAGTCTAAAGGCCATCATAAAAAACCCTCTTTGTTGGTGTGTGGGGTTCACTAAATGCCAACTGTGTGCGCAGGGGTTCAGGAAAGAGAGACACGATACGTTGGCTGCCAGTGTTCTTTTCACAGCGTGCACAGGACGCCTTTCTACTGCAGAGGAAAGCCTCACACAGAGTGATGAATTTCTCCCCAACATGCAGCTCTCAACACATGGATTTAGGTAATCAGTAGTTTAGCAGACTAATTCCACACCCATGGAACAATGCAACTAGGTTTGCAGAGGTCAGCATTATTAGAAAAGACAAATGCTCCAGCTCTGTTTATTTGCCCCCTTGGGTTGTTCGAGACCAAAAGCATTAGACCAGAAACTACAGAAGAAGCAACATAGAACAAACACAAGAACAAGTGAGAATCCATCCATCATTTATCTTTACCGGCTTCTTCCTTTTCGGATTGCCGAGGTCACTGGTGCTCATATACACCAGTTACTGTGCGAGAGGTGGGGGGCAGAATTTGTCTATAAATTTTGCTTGCAGCTCAAGCACTTAAAAAAAGTGAATTCAATTTCATATGTACACACCCACACAAAACATCCTGATGCATGCTCAATAATCCAGGCAGCAAAATCTAACGACGTTAAGTCAGGTCCTCTGGACGGATTCAAAAAAATCAAAAAATTAAAAACGTTGAAATGTTTCGTTTTTAATCCAGAAGACTTAGTCAGTCCGAGAAGCTGCAATAAACATAGTCTTATAGTCTAACCAGTTTATTGTTGACATCCAAAACTAGCTGTTCACATGATAAAGGAGGACCATCAGCCTAATGACCGATCGTTAGTGCTCTGATGGCTGAGTGATAGGTGACAATTGGACATGGAGGCCCCCGCCCCTGTTTAATGATGGACAATTTCTCTTCACAAAGATGGCCTCCTTCACTCCTCTCTCAAACCGTCGTTCCTCTCTATCCAGGATGTGAACATCTTCATCCCCGAACGAGTGACCTCTGGCCTGGAGATTAATGTAGACCGCAGAGTCCTGGCCTGATGATGTTGCTCTTCTGTGCTGGTCCATCCTTTTGGCCAGTGGCTGTTTAGTTTCCCCCATGTAAGACTGATCACAGTCCTCCTGACACTGAACATCATACACAACATTGCTCTGTTTGTGCCGGGGGACTGGATCTTTGGGATGAACCAGTCTTTGCCGTAATGTATTTTGGGGTTTAAAAGCCACTGGGACGTTATGTTTAGAAAATAAACGCCTCAGTTTCTCTGATACTCCCTCAACATATGGAATTACCACTGGTCTGGGTCTGGGTTCCTCCTTTTCACCTGATGGTGAATCCATCCATGAATCGTTTCAACAAGTTTTTTATTTTTTATTTTATTTTATTCCATCCAGAAGACCTGACTTAACTTTGTTAGACACCCACACAAAGTTATTATTTTCCTTTTAAATAATTATTTGATTTTTGTTCTAAATGCATACTCTCATGTTTACCCTCTTTATGTTTAAATAAGTCTTAAACTTATATTTATGCATTAGCAACACTTAGAATCCTTAAATATTATATGTGCAAATAAAATACAATCTGCATTACAATCAACACATCTGACTCAGAATAACCTTTCACTTTTCAAAGTACAGGGTGTATTGAGTGTCTGGTGTTGACTGAGCACAAAGCCTGCTGGGAGCTCTTCTATACAATAAAAGGGGCGACTTTGACCTTTTACAATTGATCACTTATCATAAAGGAGATGGAGGTTCTATGAGCAGGAGACTGACTACATGCATAAATAATTACAGACTCTGTCAAAAGGTCAAATGACAACAGTCTTGGTGCTGCTCAGTTCAATCTGCCTGCAACAATGTCATCTTATTGTAATTAGCAAAATGTAGCAAATTAATTAAGGAAAGTATCAGTGGATGTCGCAACATGGCAGTAAATAATGTATTTACCCAGGATAGCTACTACAATGTCCTCTTTCAGTATCTCAATGGAACCACGGGACAGGAAGTAGACAGCTGTGAGAACATCTCCACTGTGAACCAAAGTGTCTCCGGGAGGTGCATGAGTGGTTTGGAAGCGCATGGCCAAGGCCCTCAAGCATCCTTTTGTGGCTCCTTGGAAAGCTTTGCAGTTGTGTAGAAGATTTCTGTTGAGGTGGAGGCAAATATCTGCCTGCAGGCACTCAGGAAATCCTTTTAACACCTGCGATGCAGAGGAAATACGGTGAGTTCAAAGCTTAAAATGGGGGTTTATTTTCTTTAAGACATACGTTCAGATGATGTATACCCCACCCAGGGGATGTAGTGTTCAGCTAAGAATAAAATCAATGTACTTGTAGAAAGGTAAGTTATAATTAGGCTTGATAAAAGAACACATACTGACTGAGATTTACAGTAGATTCATTATATACCTCAGCAATAGTCACAGGGCAAGATGTGTGACTAATGCGAAAAATGTAGACACAGTTTAGACACAGACTTGAATATGAACAGCTTGCACCCCCTCAGCCTTCTAATTCAGAAATACCAGCAAAACAACTAAAAACTGGTACAAAAAAGTGCAAAACATAAAAAACAGATAAAAATTGTGACATTTCTCAAAACATAATAGTGTAGTGAACTTGACCTGATGTCAAAACTTGACCTTAGGATCATATGGTCAGAAACTGTCATTTCATTGATTTGCATCCAGAAATACAGGTTGACCCATCCTGAGACTTTCTTTCTTGAATTAATCAAGTGGAAAAAGACAATTCTCTATGATCATTACTATTTTACAAATGTTTTGATAATCAAATTGTGTTAGTTCAAACAATGTTTACATGTTGAAGTGAACTACTCATTTTTATTTACTTAAAACAGTAATAATGATTTTTAATCCTCATTCAAAGAAGAAATCAGGTTAATATGCATTTCTTGATTTTCTGTCTTCAATGAGCGAAGTTGTAACTGTGTCGAAGTTCAAGTTTCGGTCAACTGAAAGTTTACTGAAAAGAAATGTCATGTTTAACTTTTACAGCAAGATACTAGGAGAGGTGGCTCCACGAAGTCTGAATTCTCCATAACAATCTTTCTGTCTGTTCTTAAACAATCTTAATCTTTTTCCTTGACTTTTCATAACACCTTACATCACAAAACACACCTCTGTTTGGGTCCATCGACCAATCAGAAGCTCTCAAATGAACCGGAAGTAGAGCCCATTTAAATGTTGGCACTTCCTAGTTCAACCAAGAGAGTTTTTGGAGTTCCAGAATGCAGAACGCTGGAATTCAGGATGCTGCTGAAAGAGAATCAAGCTGAACCAGAGACGATTTGGGAATTATAACTTCTGTTTGGATAACCTCACGACTCCAGGGGTTTTTAGCTGTTCTCACAGAGACGCTGAAAGAGTTGAAAGGAGAGCTCTACACCAACGCTGAAACTATCGTCTGCAAGGTAAAAAGTTCTATCTCAACCAAGCGTACCGTTGGCCCAAGCTGATTTCCAAAGGAGCGTGCATGTTCTGGTTAAAACAGACAAATTCCCTCACACATCTCTCTGTAGATAAACCTCATCTTTCCATCTTTAAACTCTCCTATCTGCTAGCAAATTAATCCAGATGTTTTCAGAAATGTCTGTGGTGAAGCAACGGAAAATCATGGCCGTATGGTTTCCTGGTTGTAAAGCTGATTAATTATGTCGTTATTTTTCAATTCTTGCCAATTAATGTAAATGTGTGATGTGTTAAACTTGATTCTGTTAATAAATGACCCACTCGTTTGGTGAGTCAAAGATAATTAACGTCTCACGTCCACATTTTATTAAATTCAATGCACGCATGTTATACAGGCCAGAAAAATGAAAGAACCCGTTTAATTGATGAATATATCTCAGGATATGTCATACTACAATAGTAAAAAACACAATTAAATTTTTTTTTTTTTGCTTTGCTGTATTCAGAAATGCTGACATTTTTAGAATGTCACTGAGTTTTCATCACCTTTTGTTGACTAGTTTGTTTTATTTGCAGCCCATAATACAAAAACAAGTTCAACATAAATGCATTTTTTGTTAATCTGGCTAATTTAATCCCAACATTTGGGATGTTGCACAGATGCTACAGTCACTGCTAGAAAACACTTGAATAAAAAGCATGAAAATGTGTAAACTAGTTACATTGTTTCTTTAATAGCCAATCTGTTAAAACTCAAGAAGATCTGATCTGATTCAAGATGATTTTTGAGTATTTTAATAAATAACTGTGTGATGCTGTATTCTTTAAGGTAGTCAGATGGATCACTGGCTGCTTGAAATGCTTTTTGCAAAAAGGGAAACAAACAAAACAAACAAACAAACCAAAAAAGTCATTACAAGTACGTAGGAAATTAATTTTTTGTTATGCAATAAAAAAATCTAAAGAAACTTTAGATTGTCCAATAATTTAAAGCTTTTTTTTTTTTAAACATAAAAATGAATGAGGATGAAAATGTAAACATATTGACATCAAGTGACACAAATGCAAGCGAGTAAATTTCCAATTTCCCAACGTATGGGTCACCTAGTGTTATATTTTATTAATATAAAGACAAAGCGTGAGGGTTTTAGCTGCATTTAGCAGCATGGTTGCTGACTTAAACTGACTAAAGCGCCCTGAGCCTAATCCCCACTCTTCTTGCATGTAATAGTAACGACTGTGGTCACTTAAAAAGTAAAAAATGCAAAACGCCCACTCTAGAGCCAGCTGCTAAATTTTTCTGGGCCACTGCAAAAGCACAGTGACTGTAAGAAAATGCCAACTGTGTATAAAAACTCTTATTCTAAGTCAACAAAACCACAAATACTGTATTCTAAGTGAAAGTAATTAACTGTTTTGCATAATTCATTCACTCAAAACTACTCTCAAAAACTGTATACAGTGTAATAAATACTTGTAAATTTGACTTTATAGCTTTTTGTTTTAAGAAAATGCATTTTAAATGACAGCTAATTTAGTTTTTGACGTACTGTATTATTTCTGCCTGACTTGGTTCAACTGGCATACAGAGGGGCTAGTCATATTGTTCCAGATATACCAAACATAATTTCTGCTTTGTGTAGAGAATGTTTTATCATTCCAAACTTTACTTTTTTATTCTGAATAAAAGCTAGACAGAAAAGATCATATAAACCAGAAACAGAAGTAATAACAATGCATGTACCTCCTGCTCTTATACCAATGAAGAGATGTCCATCCCAATGAAAAGCAAAGGAGAGAAAATAAAGCGCTTTTAGCTTTGCATAGTTCATTATTTCCATCCAATGCAGTTATTTTACTGGCCATCTTTTGTAGTTACACTGACAGGCAGATGCTTTTTTAGATTACCGTGTTCATGTCAATGCCATTGGTGTAGGTCCACGAGTGCTGGAAGTACTCTTCAAGCCTTTGCCTCAGCGGGTTCGGAATCTGGTGAAAGCGGATGAACTCCTTGACCCGTAACATCTGAGCGTGATAGCGAGCCGTCCCCGAATACAGCCTCTGGATGATGGCAGAGACGTTCCCAAATATACTGGCATACATGAGAGCTGAAATACAAATAATGGGCGAGTTATACTCCGCAAAGAGTTTTGCTAGTTTGCTGCTGAACAAAAAAAAAAAAACTTAAGAAAATGCTGCCATGAACAAAGTTTTACCTAGAGTTTGATTTAAAATATGCCAGTAATAACTTTTAGAGTATGCAGAACAAGGAAGCAACACTGAGAGCAGATGCATGCTGTAAGCAGAAAATAAAATACTCACAGCCAATTAGCATGACACATATGGAAAAGACCTTCTCAGAGTTGGTGTTCGGGGACACATTCCCAAAGCCCACACTTGTGAGACTGCTGAAAGTGAAGTAAAGTGCTGTGACGTACTTGTCCTTGATGGAAGGGCCAGAGCTAGGGTCGCTGTAGTTGTATCTTTTCCCTATGGACACAGCCAGATTGTCTAGCCAGCCAATTTTGTGCTGCAGGTAGGGCTTCTCAACGTTGCCAATAGCATACCAAATACAAGCCAACCAGTGGGCAATGAGGGCAAATATGCACATGAGCAACATCAGGACTGCAGCTCCATACTCAGAGTAACGGTCCAGCTTCCTGGCAACACGCACCAACCGCAGAAGCCTCGCCGTCTTCAACAGTCCAATCAGAGTGGTTGTCTAAACAGGATGTACAGTAAAGAAGTTTATCAGTATTTTCAGTAGAGATGCGAATGATACCTTTGTCAAAACTAAACATTCTCATCGCTGAACATTTCCTTAATGACCATAGAAAAAGATGAAAGTGCATAAGATTTAAAGTATCATGGTTGACTTCTGAGCAGACTCAGGATCGGTGCATCAACAGCACCATTCTATAAAGTCTGCACCGTTGTATAAAGAAAGAAAATAAGTCCCGGAACATTTAACGGTTATAGCAGTATGCATGGATAGTTGGATACTTGAAGACTAAGGGGTAAATAGCAGTCATGGCAGAGTTATGAACAATGGTAAAAGCACAGTAGACTAAAACTACAATAATAACCAAAATCTGAACAACATCCTGCATTTTGTAGTTTAAATCTAAATAGGAGAAACATCAATATCAAAATTGGACAGAACTTTTTTTTAATGTTTAAAAATGTTCTAAGTGTGGCTGATTTCCAGTTTTTTGAAGCGTATTGGTTTCAAAACCACTAAACGGTTGTCACATTGTTTTTGTTGTTTAAACTGTCTCTAACGATGTCCAGGAACCTCTCAGGTGACGTCTAACGTAAAGCAACATTCAGGTTGTGCGAGGTCTCAGTCAGCTGTGAATGAGCGTAAAACAGGACAACACTTTTATCTTTTAAACAAGGGTCATTGTAGTGCCATCCATTATTTTCAAGGTTACAGTTTTAAAACAACAAAATTGCAGCAAACTTTGAGAGCTAGCATGACTTTCTATGAATCCAACTGCATCCTCTAGGCTCAGTGTTGAGGCTGAAAACCTGATTAAATAACCAGCACAGTTTGGCAGGCTCCGACACAACTTTAAAAAGAGGCAAATGCGTTGAAAAAGCCAAAACTCTGAACAATGAGCATTTTCACTTCAGTAATGTGACTAAAATTGCCTTTTAGGTCATTATTATTTTTGTTAATCAAACTTTGTGGATTTTTAAAAACAACATTCTGGCTGATTTAGCTGACAGTGATGATATTAGAAGAAATATGACTGACACATTTATACTTACATTATTGCACCAACATAAAGTGCATATCAATTAATATTATAGTCATAGCAACTTGTTTAATAGCAATATGTGACACAAGTTTAGCATCAGTAGTGATTTCAATTCAATTCATTTCAATTCAATTCAATATATTTATATAGCGCCAAGTCACAATAGAAGTCGTCTCAGGGCACTGAACAGAAACAATCATATGTAAAAATTAAAAGTTATCAATATTTATCTGAGGAGCAGACTGCTTTGAATTTAACTTCATCTCAGATTCTCATTTTGAGAAAGCATGAAGGCGACAGTGGAAAGGAACAACTCCCTGACGAGGAAGAAACCTTTAGCAGAACCAGGTTCAGGACAAGCGGCCATCTGCTTCGACCAGCTGGGTTTAAGAGGAACAGGAAGGAGGAACAGATACACAATGGCAGGTCCAGGATCATGTTAAGATATAAATAGTATCAAATGAAAACTGTTCAGTTTTAACAATTCATTTAAGGAAATGAGGTCAATTTGTCCTCTAGTAGTCCAAGATAAGACAGCATGACAAGCCAACCCTAACTGTAGGATTTATCAAAAAGGAAAATCTTAATCCCAGTCTTAAAACTGGACAATGTGTCAACCTCATGGACAGAAACTGGAAGTTGATTCCACAAGAGAGGAGCCTGATAACTGAAAGATCTTCCTACCAGTCTGCTTTTGGAAAATCTAGGAACCACGAGTAAGCCTGTAGTCTGAGAGCAAAGTGCTCTGTTAGGAAAATATGGAACAACAAGATATGTATAATAAAATGGATCTAGGTTGTTGAGAGCTTTGTAGGTTAGAAGTAAGATTTTGAATTCAGTTCTGGATTTGACAGGGAGCCAATGGAGAGAAGCTAAAACTGGAGAGATATGATCTCTCCCACTAACTCCAGTTAAGACTCTGGCAGCAGCATTTTGGATTAACTGAAGATTTTTTTTTTAAAGTGTTTGGACATCCAGATAATAAACCATTGCAATAGTCCAGTCTAGACATGACAAATGCATGAACCAGTATTTCTGCATCATTTTTAGATAAGATGTTTCTAATTTTAGTGATATTACGCAGGTGGAAGAAGGCAGTTCTAGTAATATTTTAATGTGTTTTAAAGTAATAAGAATAAGAACATCTGATACACTTTTTTTTCATAATACTATTGTATTTTTGCTGAAATTCATCATACATCAGAATCACACTCTAATCCATCCCTTAGCCATATCTTTAGAGTCCACTTTTAAATTGCTTAATAAATTCACAATATGTTAGGTAAGCTGTCTTCAGCAGTGAGAGTTCATGTCATTTCAATCCCCAGACAGGAGTATTTGTATATTTCTGCTGGTATTCTGCCCATGAATGGCACTTTTGTTGTAACTCATTCTGATAATCAGTGTGACGGGTTTCTCAAAGTGTATAAATACTCACTCCACTCCCTTCTTACTGTCGAACCCTGATGGTATAGAATGTCCCACTCATGACGTGTGCTTTATAATAAATACACAAAATATACAAGTAGGGGGTTTCCAGTCTCACTTATTGCTTTTTGCCACAACAGTGGCTATTTTAGGAAAATGTCCGCCTGTCACAATGGCATGCTCGCTGTAACGACTGTACAAAAATGTGTTCTCTGAAACGTAAGACTTCTTGACATTTTTTTTCTTATGACTCAGTCTGGATAAAATAATGTCTACTTTTGCTTCCAAGTATCTCAACTGTTTACGTACATTTAACGATCTAAACTGAGTTTATTTTTAATTACAATGCATGTATGGGTGTAGGAAAGTCTGGATTTCAACAGAATATTGACATTTGCGTGCATTTTAACTGTTAAAATTGCTTACGTCCGCATGTTTTACATTTTGTTAAACTTACAAAGTAAAACAAATAGTTTTATGAACGATAAACAGGATAAAATTAAACCGTTTTAAACATCTGTAATCATGTTATATGGCAACATTAGGGTTAAAACCTCAGTCGTGTGTGCTCATTCCTAACAGGAACAAAATGTATGGGTTCAACTCTGGACAAAGCTTTTATTTAATTTTATTAAATACAGATTAAAAGAGTGTTTAAAGTGCTGTTGTTGTTTCTGTTTGTCATAATAATTTCTTACAACATGATTCCAGTTTTGCTGAGTGTATTTGCTTTTACATTATTTTGCATGGTATTAAAATCTATTCCACATATTTTTTGAGTAATGAAACAGTTTAACTAAGCGCCTATGTATATATCAGTTTTGTTAAGCTGATAAATTAAATGAGCCTTAAAAAGAACACATCTGCAGCTGAAATACTTTTATTTCAGCAATGAAAAGGAAGATTGTGCGATCGTCTTAAAACATAAATTCAGGAAAGTATTATGAATCAGCATAGATGCCCAGCTTCCTTTTGATTTGTTGTGATCCAGTGAACTGACTCAGCAGCAGCAGCGACAGAAAAGATGATTATGGTGTGTAATCAGGAGCTTTTCTGGTGTAATGGAGTGCCCATAAAGCATGATAAAGCCCTGAAGTGGATCCAGAGCCTTAGGGGAAATATCCTATCAAAAATAAATAAATAAAAAAACAAAAAGCCGACAGACCTGGCAGCAACCCTACCAATGGCAATCTCTGCCATGTAAGCTGTGACAGTCTTGTTGGTCTGGTCCTTACATAAATGCATCACTGATTGCCATATTTTAAGTAACTAATCCTTGTAAAATATTCTACAATGAGAACCATTCAGAAAAATAAAATATATGCACACTTTTATATATTCAATTCAAGTAAACTTTTCAGAGCTTCTGGGACTAACAACCAAAAACATGATTAAAGTCAAAGAACCTCATCTGATCCAGAGCCGAAGATGAGAAGGTCAAAAGGGATCGCTGCCACCATATCAATGAGGAACCAGCCTTTGAAGTAATGGATCGCTATCTTGGCAGGATTGCTAACCACTTCTTCGTTATGGTTGACGTAAGTGGTCCTGAAATTTATGAGGATGTCGATGATGAACATGATGTCCACGATTAAATCCACTACGTTTAGTGGGCTGCAGGAGTAGCCACATTCACGCCTCCGATGCTCCTCTTGCTCATTGAGAAGAAACGCAGCGGAGTAAGGAGTGAGGATTGCCGTGTAGATGACCAGCAGCAGGATCAACCAGTCCCACACGGCTTTGAACGGGCTGTAGTGGAGGATTGTGAACTTGTCAATGCGAGGCGTCTGTAGTTTGTACTCTGGAAGCACATCTGCTCCAAGTGACAAGACCTGGAGAGAGAGACAAAAAACTAATTGAGAACCACTTGTTTACACCACTTCACTTAGACCAGACAATTTTTAGTTCTGGAGAAACTATTAAATTGGGCTTTGAATTTCCTTTTTTTTTTTATTTCTATGGATCTCCATTCTTCTTGTGGTATGAAAACAATCAACTTGATGCCTATTGATCTGACAGTGTACTCAAAGGATGTTTAAAGTTTCTCAAAGTTGACCATAGCGGACCGGAGCAACTGCAATAATATTAATAATAATAAAAATTAAAAAAAGAGTATTCTGCAATCAAATTTTTTTTGGGGGGGCAGCCTTTATATTCATTCCACTGTCTTGTTCTATATTTCCAACATCTACATCACACATTCCTGGAAAAAATACTTTAAAGATGATTAAAATGGACAAACACAAGTTATTACTTCATCGTGCAATGTTTGTTTTTAATGTTGTCAAATGCTCTGTCTGGATGGTTAATTATTTACTGTGCTCAGAAATGCCAAGGCTATCCCCTGCTGTTGGTTTAATGACCTGTGGCGGCCAGAGAAAGGCCTCTCTAAAGGCAGATAGTAGTGCTGGAGTAAAGAAGAGGGCAATGGGTCTTTTTCTTTTCAGCACTTTCCCCAACTTCAACGCATGAATTATAGATGTGGCTGTGCCATCAGCCCGGAAGCAGCCGCAGCGTTCGTATGTCAGCAGAGTCTCCCAACTTCAAATCAAACTCTGCAGGGAGAGGAAGAGCATTTAACCAAGATGAAGGTTCTTCATTTATGAATGAGAACGCTGCTGTATGTTGAATGAAGTTTGAATATAAGATGTCTGAGCTTCTTTTGGACTGATTGTTGCTGAAGCACTGAGGCACAAACTGGGGCAATTCTTTTACTTTTTAGTGGCACCTTTTCAAATTGACATTTTTCCAGTAAACAATAGTTTTCACTTAAAAAAATATCAGCATAAAGTATTTGTTTTTCTTTCAGTTTTTCTCTTGGAAGTGAAATAAGGACTTGCAGGACAACTACCAGAAACCTCCTGCTTCATATCTGGTCTAAAAACAGTTACTACAGTTGTTCACGTTATCCTGTAACTGAGTCTCAGAGTGAATGCTGAGCTGGTAACCCAAACTTCTTGTTGCCAATCTATTCCATCAGGTGTAATGGCAGCTCATTCAGCTCATTCATACGGGTCAGTAGGTACACTTTACTTCAATTAACCCCAAAGTTCCTAACACTGCCTTGTTTTTGTTCATGGGATCTGCACAAACCAGGACCTTACTACATACTGCTGTCACAAATGTTTATCTTTTAAATTATAATTCAAGATTTTTAGGTATTTGTGCAATGTATTCAAATATTTCTGGATAGCTGAATGCATGTTTCTAATGTTGAAAAGGCCAGCTCATTTGTTTAACTTTTCTCCTTTAGTATTATTTCTGATTTTTTTAAATTATTATTTATTCATTTATAAAAAAATAAAATAAAAAAAATCTGGGGTGACATTAGAAATGAACAGGTAGAATGTTCTGAACTAAAGTGTGCAAACATTTTTTTTCGAGAGGATGTATCAAAGTAAAAAAGAAGAAGATATAACCCAAAACAAGCCGCAGTTTTCATTCAATATGCAGATTTTTTTTTTCTTTCTCACATTCACACTGTCCTAAAACATTTTGTGCCAGACAGTGAAATGTCAACTAACAAGAAAAATTCAACTGTCACAAACTTAAATATAAATTGGGGAAATTTAAATAAACACTACAAAGAATTTTTTAGCAAAACTTTTGGCAAATACATCATAAAAAAATAGCAATTTTGATTTATCGCAAAGTTCTACTAGAAATTAATGTTCATTGTCATAGAAACAAATGTTCCTTTTTACTATTTCAATGCTTTTTTCTGAAAAACTGGCAGCAGAAAGTACTTTCTCCAACACATTGCCAGCAGTTTCCTGCAAAAGCAAAAGAAAAATGGATGGTTTGAGCAATTCTACATCAATGTATCCCCCCATAAATACATAATCTAGATTATTTTCTTTATTTTCTATAAATGACAAAATCTTTTCAACAAAGTGACAGTGACCTGGAGAACCCTCATCTGCTCGGACGACACATGCAGCTGGATATATCTCTGGGAAGTGGAATCTGATGTGTCTACCTCTGCTATCGATCGAGGACACCGGAATTGCATATAAATGGATTTATGATAACAGGTTTCCTGTTTTTGGAATAGTCTGGTTCCTGGTTTATCAACATACAAAGAAGACAGCCGCAGCTAATTTGCCCCTCGTCAGGCTTTTTCCTGTGAAGGCTGGTTTGTGCTTCGAGGACTCAAAATCAGCTGATTTACGAGCTAAACCGTAAGATGGAAGTGATTTGAATCGAAGGCCACCTGCGGCTTTGGGACTCGTCAGTATGAAAATGACCTTGAAGAGGCTCGTAAGCACAGACCAGTAGAATGCACCCTAATCTGGCCATTTCAGACCTTGGAAGTACCAATAAAGACTCGAGGCTGACAAGAAAAAATAGTCGTGGATTATCTGAATCCGACTCCCCGGTTGGCCTAGAAACAGGCCGACTTATCAGTTTCTCCTGGGAAATGTGCAAACTAAGTAAAAGCTTCGTCTATCACATCCCCCCCCCATCTTCTGTCGAGGCTTATCAGAACTGTGCTGGCTGACCATCATCATATCAGGGCAATGGTCTATCTGTTAGTGCTTCGTGGACCGCCTCGTCATCAAATGCATATGTAACGTGTTCATAAATGTACTTGCTGGCAGAGTTTTTTTGGTGTCTTAAATCGTGTCCTGTTAGGACAAGGTGTGAAGAGATCTTTTTTTGTAATACCACTACCCTCTCCTCATGGCTTTGTCCTTTTTTTCTATCTAAAAAATGTATTCTGAAAAGAATAAGAAGGCCACGCTCTAAAAGGGCAGCAGCTACGTGCACTCCGTCCATTTTTTGGACGACTGTACGTACATGTTCTCATTGTATCTCGGTGCAATGATAATAAAGCTTATCTGATTTGCTGATTATGAAGTTTCACTTGCTCTTTTGTTAATTACCAACAGTAATGTGTCATAAGGGTTACGTATAAGATATTTGAGGATAGGAGAAAAAACAGGAAATGTTTTTTCAAGATATTGTCATATGAACAAACTATAGCTATTTTAATGTTACATGATGCTATTTTTGTTGTTTATGTGAGACAAAAACAACAATAAACAGTGAACCAGTATAAATAGGACATTATGGACTCTGAGTCTTATCTCACATGCAGAACATGTATATTCTTGCCCATATGTTATACATTTTTGTTGCAGTGTTAACACCAAATAAAAAAAACATTACATTAACAAGATAAGTTTTAGTTTAGTACTTCTCACTTAAGTATGTGAGAGTTTTCTGTGGACAGATTTGGTCTCTGGTCGCCCTTCTTCCAGCAAAAGCTGCTCTTGCAATAGTTCACATTTTTGTATTTTGTCAAAACTCTCTATACTCTTCACAACATTTTGTTGAGCAAACAGGCCGATTTTGACTGCATCCAAGTCATAGTCAAGGACGATACAAAGCTGAAGAAAATACAGTAAGTAGAACCAGTCATCTTTGAAAATAAGCCATTGGATGGGCAGATACATTTTTTAATTTATTTAACAAAGAATATTTCAATGAAGTCAAAGTCCCAACAATCCCATAATTATTCACATATATGTTTCTATTTCCTGTGATGGACTTGCGACCTGTCCAGGGTGTACGCGGCATCTCACACAGTGACTGCTGGACATGGGCACCAGCGACCCCTGCGACCCAAAAAGGAAGAAGCGGGTAAAAGATAATGGATGGATGGATGGATGGATGAATCACATGCATTAATAATTATGGTCAAGTCAATAGATATTTATGACAGAATTACTTCAGTATCCAAGTAGTGACAAGAGGTGCTGCTGCAATATTCATAATAAGAGGCTCAACTTGAGCATTAATAAAAATCTAGTAGATTCCAAAACAGGCATAAAATAATCCAACATTTTTCAGTCAGGTCATCTGGACAGGTTTTTTTTTTTTTTTGTGCTGAAACGTTTCGCCTTCAATCCGGAAGACTTCATCAGTCAAGGAAACACACAACAAAACTGATTCTTCCCCAACAGCTTACTCCAAAGTGGAACAAACCAGTTCTGTTTGTGATTAGATGGTCTCTTTGGTACGCCCCTCCTCCATTGCCGGCCCTCTTCCTTGTTAACAGTCTTGTCAAACTGGTTGAAAACAACAAAGTCCATGCTCAATAATTCAGGTATAAAATCCAACATTTTTCAGTCAGGTCATCTGGACAGTTTTTTTTTTGTGCTGAAACATTTCGCCTTCGATCCAGAAGGCTTCATCAGTCAAGGAAACACACAACAAAACTGATAAGTATTACATAAAATAACTTCCTCAATTTTTACTAGTGTACAGATCATATAGATGAACACTTTTATATAATGCACTCTGTCTCAGTAACTTGTCTTTTTACTAATGGCCAGCAAAAATAAGTCAAAAACACAATTTTTTAGAACATTTGCTCCCATCTAACAACGCTCCTCGGAGGAAACGCAGCCAGCAGCTCTATTTGAATCTCTGATGCATTTTTAATTCTGGGACAGTATAACACAGCGTGATTTCTGTTCCTAGAACCAACAAATGTATCTTAACACCTTGTAAGTGAACAAAAAAGGCCATATTTTCATGATTTTTCAAACTCAGGCAAGCAATTGTCCTGAAGTTTATGACACAAATATACTCATGTGAATCACAAGAACACACTCGTGCCCACATTTCACAGCAGCGTTCATCACAAGTTGGTCAGTTCTTTGTTGAAGTGGGCGACATGGCTTTAAATCATTTGTTTTTTTCTTAAATGGTTCACACAGTTAAAGTGTAAAAAAGAAACTTTTTTGTGTCCAGAACAAAGAAATTCCTTATTTCAACAACATGAAACCTCACATTGACCGTCTTTGTGATCCTTTCAGTAAAATGTACGTGCCAAATTTAAAGTGAACTGGATCAGCAAACAAACAACACAGAGATTTAAGGATTTACTGGTGGGATTAACGCAGTGTTGAGGACAACTTTCCCCTAAATCGACACATTATTAGGTATCAAACCTCACGTGATGTGATGGATACAGAGAAATTTTCCACTTTCCTCTCATGCAGCTCATAAACATTCCATCCATCCATTATCTTTATCCGCTTCTTCCATTTTGGGTCACGGGGGTCACTGGTGCCCATGTCCAGCAATCACTGTGCGAGGGGCGGGGTACACCTTGGATGGGTCGCAAGTCCATCACAGGGACACATAGAGAAAAACAACCATTCACTCTCTCACTCACACCTAGGGACAATTTAGAGTTACCAATCAGTCTAACATGCATGTTTTTGGTCTGTGGGAGGAAACTGGAGCACCCGGAGAAAACCCACGCATGCACGGAGAGAACATGCAAACTCCACACAGAAAGGCCCCTGGACCGGGGTTTGAACCAGGGACCTGCTCGCTGAGCGGCAGCAGCTCTACCAGTTGCGCCACCGTGCTGCCAGCTCATAAACAAATCTATTTTTCTTTTTTTTTTTTAACTCACCTGTGTAACTTTTTCTGTGACATTGTGGGTTCGGTCTTTGACCTTAGGTGCTATGATGGGTTTCTCCGACGTTGGAGGAGAATGAGGTTTCTTCTCAGTTATCTCTGAGAAGTTGAGAGCGATCAGCGGGAGCTTGTTGATGGTGCTGTACTTGTTGATGTTTGAATCGGAGGTAGAGCCGAGGAGGCTGGACTTCACATGGTTGAAAGGACCTGGTGATTCATAAAGAAAAAAAAAAACCTTTGTGTGAATTAATATAAACAACAATTTACTTGGTTTTGATGATAAAAATGATCATGAAAAATAGCAATTCATTCAACCTTTATTTATACAGGTTAATCCCATTGAGCCTCGGGGACTCATTTACAAGAAAGACCTGAATTTTAACCAAGAGTGATGAACACAACAATCATAAAGGATACATACAAAATATTTTTTAACAAGTGAAAATAAAATGGTAATTAAAAAGGATAAGTAAAAAGGAAAAGTAGCAAAAAAACAGCTAGATTGTAAGGCACTGTAGAAAACTAAAAACAGGAACATGTCTACATTGGTCCTTGCCAGGAACTTAACAGATGTTTAAAGTCACTTAGAGAGATCAAGGTCGAGAGCTTCAGATCTTTTTGCAAGATATTCCAGGAAACAGGAGCGGAGTAGGAGAAGGGTCTTTTGTCTAGTTCATTTGTCACAGAGGGAACACTGCATGTAATAATATCCTGAGAGTGTACGCTGTAGCTCCACTCACGCAGTGACATCTAGGAGTAGATGTATGAAGGCAGCAGACCAAGAAGTGATTTAAAGATGAAAATGTACCAGTGGGAGAGTCTTCGTGAAGTTAATGATGACCAGTTAACCAGAGAATACAGGGTGCAGTGGTGGGTACAATAGTTACAGCCAGTTATGAATCTTAGTGCACCATGATAGACAACATCCAACATCTGCAGAGTGCTTGTAGGAGTGTTCATGTAAATAATGTCACCATAGTCAATGGAGGGAAGGAAAGTCACAGCTTACAAGGCATTTCCTAGCATTCAGAGTTAAACAGGACCTATTTCCAAAAAAGAAACCCTGTTTAACTTTCAGTTTCCTTACGAGGTTTTCTATGTTGAACTTAAAAGAGAGATGCGAATCAACCAAGGTACCCAAATATTTGTAGGAATCAACAAACTCAATACGGACACCATTTGATGATAAAGTCAGAGGAAGAACTGCTGCAACCGACTTCCTGTTTGAAAAGAAAAAATAAAACATCTCTTTGCTTTTGTCTGTGTTTAGGACAAGTTTGAGGTGGAACAAATCTGACTGGATGATGATGAAAGTGGAATGCAAAAGCTGGAAAGCCTTAGTCACTGTTTTAGCTCAACAATAAACAACTGTATCATCAGCATAGAAATGTAAGGATGCATCAGGGATGCTCTGACCTACATTACCTATGTAGATTGTAAAGAGGATGGATCCTAAGACTGAGCCTTGTGGTACACCATTATTGACTGTTAAATAACTGGAGGAAATACCATTATGTTGAACACATTGCCTCCGATCTGAGAGATGGTTAGAGAACAAACCAATGGTATGATCTGAAAAACCAATTTCTGAGAGCTTATGACACAAGATGTTATGATCCACAGTGTCAAACGCTTTAGACAGGTCTAAGAAAAGTGCAGGACAATAATCCTTCGCAACCGATGCTTCAACAATGTCATTAAAACCCTTCAGCGCAGCAGACGTTGTGCTGTGTTGTTTCTTGAAACCAGATTGATGGAGAGATAATATTTATACATTTGATGTGAAGTGGAGAGCTTAAGTGCCTATCATATTTACACATTTTTTATGCATTTATTTGAACATTTATCTAATTTCAAAACAACATTTAAATTGTAATTACTTATAAATGTAAACCTTGTCTCCATGTTTAAGACAGCGGGCTGACATAACAGTGACAGAGGTCTGGATCCTTTAGCTCTATTTATAGCAAGCAACGGTAGTATAGCCTCATACACTTACAGAACTGCTGACTAATGAGTTCTGGCAAATGTGGATAATGCAAAAACCACAGGATATTTCTTAACATTTCTTTCGTGCAAAGGGGGCATGTACCACAGCACAGACAGTTTATGCTGTTTTTGGTAGTGACATGCAAAAAAATTAACATTATACTGTTGTCACAAAACACTTAACTGTTGGATTACCATTTCTCACCAAGTGAGGAGCGACATAGACACTTTGACAACAGAAAATGGTTTGTGAGCAGTTAGTTGAAGTTGTAAATTTGGCAATTGAATATAAATTTATTGGTCTTTCAAAACTGCAGCTAAAATTAGTCTAAAGAGTAATAGACTTGCTTTGGATATCCCCTTAATAATATTGTAGACCCCTTAATTATTCCAAATAAAAAATGTCTCAAAAAGTATTTAAGTGAGATCACATCAGGAGAGAAGTAGATTGTTTTTGTAACAAAATTTTATCTCAGACTTTGTTTTGTATCCAGAAGTTAATGACACTCAAAGATGCAATAATTCATTTTTCTTCTAAAATTTAATTGTGTGAATGTTTATGAAGCATTCACACTATTGTGATCTATTTTTCTTCTGTATGTTTTTCGTCATCTTTCTTGTTCCACAATTTTTGTGCTATTTCAACAAATCATATCAAAACATTCAACTCCTTCAGGACAATCCTGCTATGACTTTTGATATTGGTGCAACTTCAGCTTTTTGAAATATCCTTTTCTGCCACTTTTTTTTTCCTCAAAGAAAATGAATTAAGCTCATTTTACATCCTTCATATCTTTAGATCTGTTTATAACCTTTAACTGCTTTTTTTCACATTTTGTTCTGGTTCTATCATGTTCGGCTTCCGTGTGTTGAACCCAAGTGCAGGAAGGCGATGAGAGACTCCAAGTTAAAGTAAACATTTCAGGCGGTGACACAGAGGGATACAGAACATACAGCCTTACAAAAGACAACCCAGAGACACCGACAAGACACCAAAGGGCTGAATATATACAGACACTAACAAGGTGAAATGACAGACACCTGTGGTGATTAGATTTGACACAGGTGCGACAGTGCTGGAACACAGGGAGGAGAAACACCGAGGGGTGATTGGCAAACATGAGGCAAACACAACATGCAGGACCAGACCCCAGAAACCCTAAAGGTTCAGCTTCTTTCAGCTTTCTTGAGCAAATTAAAACAGTTTTTTCCTGCTATTTTCAGCAGGTTTTTTCAGCCGTTTCATGCTCCTTTCAGATTCTTTCTGTAAACTACAACATTTTTGTGCTTCTAAATTCTTTCTGCTAATTTCAGCTTGTTATGCTCCTTTCAGCTCATCTCTGCATGTTTCAGCTTAATCTGCTATTTCAGGTACTATTTAGCTGTTTTTATGCTAATTTTAGCATTTTAAGCTAATGCCACCTTTTTGGTGCTCATTTCAAATTTTTTCAGTCTAATTCAGCAAAAAATGTGCTCTCTCCACTTCCTTCTGGTAATTTAAGCTTATATCTGCTTTTATAGCTACCTTTTAGCTGTTTTGCTAATTTCATTATTTGTCAGATAATTTCCACTTTTTTGTGCACATTTGTGCTTCTTTCAGCCTAGTTGGGCACATATGTGTACTTTCTGCTTTTTTAAGCTTGTTCTAACTTTTTCAACTACCTTTTTAGCATTTTTTTTAGCTATTTTCAGCTGTTTTCATATACATTCACATTTTTTCATGATAATTTCTGCTACTTTCTAACTTCTTTCTGCTAATTTCAACTTGTTATGCTCCTTTAAGCTTAATATATTAGTTTAAGTTATTTCAGCTACTATTTAGCTGTTTTATGCTCATTTTAGCTTTTCAGCTATTTCCACATTTTTATTAGCTCTTTTCAGCTCTTTCTGCTTTCTTCTGGTAGTTTATGCTCCTATCTGCATTTCAGCTATTTGTTTAGCTAATTTCAGCTTTTTTTTAAAGCTAGTTTCCTAAAATTTCTGCTAATTTCTGAATATTTATACCAATTTCAGCAAATATGTGTTATTTCTAATTTATTCTGGTAGTTTATGATTGCTCTTTGATTTCAGCTGCATTTCAGCATGGTTTTTAAGCTCATTTCAGCTGTTTCTCAGAAAGTTCTTCTTGAATAAGCATTCACACTGCATTTTTGCAGGAAATGCAATTCCACTAGTTAATAGTGAACTTTTGCCTATACCTCTTCAGCTGAGGTCATTTCTTTGATTTATTTCTAATAAGTTTGTCCAGTCATTCTCATTGTTGTTGCACACCTTAGAAAACTGTCTCTAATTAGGATTCAAGGATGGGATTAATCTGTATAAATAAAGACTGACTTCATAAAAAGGATGTATTACATACCTTCGCTCGTTTGCCGATCCCTGAATACGCTTTTGGAATTGGAGCTGTAGCCCTCAATTTCATGGTTGGATGAGGCTCTCCTCATGCTGCTGGTGCTGCCTCTGGGGAAGGTGTTTGACAGGGAGCTGGAGGACTGGAGCGGCTCGGTCTGGTACAGCTTGTCCCACGGGAGTTTTAGGGATGAGTGGTCAAGTGGTTCAGGGCCGATGCTAGCCTGGGAGGAGTGGTGGCTCGAGCCTATTAGGGCACGCGTGTCGTTGGCCTCAGTGGGGCTACAAATGCTCTTTGTGGGTGAGGGGAAGCTCTCCAAGGCCACTGAGTCCTCATCCTCTTTGGGAGAGTCCACCGTCACAGCATCTGGGTCCTCTTGTGGAAGAGATTGCTTGTTGGTATTCATTAGGCTCAAAGCAGCCTGACGGAATCGAAAGAATCTGCTCCTTCCTAATAATAATAAAAAGAAAAAAAAAAAGTCATTTTTGTGTGTATAGACCTGATGCACTCACTACACTTGTCACTGAAACAGTTAATCCTTTTATTAAAATATTAACATTTACACTAATAACAATGAGATAACAGTCAAAATGCATAAAACCATAACCAAATAACTGCAAAACATATTTCTTCAATAGAAACACTGATCTAAACTGATTGTTTTAACTTTCTGTTGAGCTCTCTCTTTTTCCCCATTTCTTGTTTTATTTTGTAAAGCCTTGACACTTGAATTCATATTTTTTTAGTCTCTTGCTCCTCAGTGCACTTAATTCATAGTTATCAGTTATTCTATGTCAGATCTTCAATTTTCCTTTATGGCACACCGTCTGCTACATGTTACATTTTGCTGTCGCTCTTTGAACTACCTGTACTGAAGTTTAAGTAATAAAGATTTGTTTGATCCTATACCAGCCATCCTGTCTGCCTACATTTTGTCAATGTCACGTTTTAAAAATAAATAAACTACCACCTTCTCCACTGAACAGATAGGATATATAACCACTTAAAGAGCTTTCCAATGAATTCCACTGCTGAGAAGAGCAGATGCTGAAAACCATCTGCTAATTAACCAGTATAACAGGTTGCCAACCTGAGTTTTTAAAATAATCCATGTGGCTTTTTTCAGGTTTTGTCACATCTAGATTACATTTGTCTACAGGTTTCCAAGCTATAAAAAACACAGAGGACCATTTAGGACATGGTGCATGCAAATCCACTCATGAGCATCCATCCCTCAGCACACTTCTTACATAACATCAGTGCCATCTGTTTCCACTGCCTGACCGAATGTCCTATCACAACTGTAGCTGCTTACAATAGAAACAGAAAGCTCAACAAGTTTCCTGTAAAAAAAACTAATGAAGGCAGGAGGTACGTAACCTTACCCTTTTTATTGTATTCACGCTGTCATTTGTATTGCAAATTAATTCACTATCACTAAGCTTTAATGCTTATTCAGTGCATATTTATCGCCTGTATCTCCGTGTGTGCTTGTTTCAAGTCATGCACTTGATGGTTTTTAATGAAACTCAGAAAGTAACTAATGGAAGGACCTCTACAACTGACTGATTTTTGCAGTCAGTCCACAAGTGGATGGTTGAAACAGCCAGATGAGCTTAGCAAACACAAAATGGCTACAACTCTGTCGGTTGCACTGATACTGAGCAGAAAATTTGTCATAGTACCGGAAGTCGACCATTAACTTATATTTTCAGGTCTAAATTACTGTGCAAGCTCTGTTTTCAAAACTTATGTCATCTTTGTCTGTTAGTGAAATATGTGAACCTCTGGACAGATTTGGATGAAACTTTCAGAAAGTATTATTTTGTAAACATTTTCAGATGGTTAATTTTTGAAGCCAACCCAATTCAAAATAACTGCTTCAGCCAACTGATCATAAAAATATATGAAAGTTATTTGTTACAAATATTTAGCAAACATTTGGACTGGTAGCTAAAACTAATTTACATCGCATACTCCAGGTGCTACACGACATAACATCTTTGCTTAAAACATTGGGATTAACCGTTGACATCAACCCTGTTTATCTGTTAGCCAAAGAACTCTTGAACAACAGGACAGATTTTATTGAAACGCTGAGAAAGTAATTAATGGATGTAAATGACTGATAAACTTTTGGAATCAACCCATTTCAAGATGTTTGCGGCAGCTGTGTCTTTAACCAAGACAAAAAACAGATAAAACTCAGTGAAATGTAAATATATGGAGCTAAAACTTGGTTTGGGAGTAGCTAGGAGTCACTGTCAACAAGCTTTAATAGATTTCTTGTAATATCGCAAAAATGTCTGGCACACTTCATTTACAAGATTTGATCAAAAACATTATAACTTTGACCCTTTTCATCATAACATGATCTCAGTTTAACCATCTGACATAAATGTGGGCAGGTGACGTGTAACCCTTCAGGAAATGCTAGGCCTTTAATTACTATAGTTTACTTATGAATCAATTAGTTATTTCAATATATTCAACAACTTATAAAATCATTACAAGCCCACTTTCCTTTTCATCTGAGCTCATCGCTGCTAGTTTTGGCATGTCGTTTCTTTTATTTGACATTTACAAGTTTTGCTCGGACACTTTCTTTTTTTAGCCGTATTGATCTGCATTCATTGAGACTTACATTTGGGATGTTTATTTTATTGATCATGGCCTAGAGACATCATACATTTACTGTACATTAGCAGCAGCACAGGTTCAGAGCAGTTTGAACTAAGCATTTTAGCTATGGAAAAAAATTGTGCAAATAAATAAATAAATTTAAAAAAATCTGCAGCCCTACAAACATAAATATACAACTGAGAAAGTAGAGAATTGGTATTCAGTTAAGCAAAGCTGCACAATGTTCTATTTATTTTATCTAAAGTGACTAACAAGTGAGAATCCATCATCCTTTGGCCCAGTGAAACAAATCAATGAATATCTTGTTTGATAATGATCAATATGAAGAACAATATCATCATGCACTGACTAAAAATGGACTTTTATGAACCCTGGACCAAGTCTATCATAAAATTCACTTGGATTTCTTGCTGTTGCATAAGAGAAGCTCAAAGTCAAATACAGTGTTGAGGTCAGTCTGTAAGTGTGATGTCTGTATTTAGCAGGCTTTGTCTGTTTGACTCCATCAATCTAAAGTCACATTATACGCTCATCTTCCTCATGTGCGCACAGGTTCTCTTGGTGAAACATCAGAGCAAACCATCACGTTTGATTAGCAATGTTGGCAACAAGCACAGGGCTGTGCACGCACATTCATGCATGTATTTAAAATTCACACCACACACACAGTGCAGCACAAGCTCACCATCAAATTCATGGTGGAATTTATACTAAAGCTAACGAACGAATTCTTACATTATTCTTAAAATTAAAATCAGAGAGATGTTGAATAGCTTCAATAAAAAAAATAAAAATTCTTATTAGTGGTTACAACTCCTGACACAACTCCATACAATAAAAAAAAGCTAATTTCCCAAAAGACACAGAAGAAAAAAAATTGAGCTTTTTCAGCAAGAATGAGATTATTCAGGTCGCTCCTTCCCTGCACAGGGAGCTTGTTACAGCCATGAACTGAACTGGGCAGGCTAAATAATGCATGATGTTTATGGATTCAAACACAGTTAACATGCTTGAAAGTTACACTTTATGACAGCTGACATCATCTCTGATGCTTACACTGCGTTTACCAGACATAAACAGATGCTTTTTCATTTCAGTCATTATGATGAAATGATTTTAGACAAATTATGATTTAGTTGTATGAAATTTTACAATTTTGCAAAGAGTCTGTTTAAGTTTGAAAATTTTAAAACACAACACATGCATACGTAACATTTAGTACTTTAAGGAACACATAATATTTTAGGTTGCATAAATGAAAATTTCTGTTGAGGACTAAAGGGCCCTGCATACTCCACCCCAAGCAGCAGAATCAGCTCTCATTGATGTAGATGTGTGATGAAAATGGCGTCATTTTGTTCCCAGAGAAGCTTCGCCCGCCACTGCTCGACACAAGATTCGTGCCAAAATTTTTCTCACGGGCTTATGCAACAAGCATTATATGATTGGTTAGAAGTTTGTGGTCAAGTTTGTCAATGTGGAAATGTGCACAGGTATTCAGCACTCGTCAGACACACTAAATTAGTCAAATGGACAAAAACTCCTCCTGGATGGAGATCGTGCAGACATTGTGTGACAAAGTGTGGCGCTTTCTTCATGATAGATTTGCAGCCAAACGGATGGAGTGGAGACTCTGGCAGGAAGAAACTCGTGCGGTGACGTATACTGCAGCGGGTTGGGTTTTCCAAGAGCTCTGTGCCTGTGGATTATAGAAGGTGTGTGCAAAAACAAACGTCTCGTAACCATGTGACCACGAGTCGACTGTTGGACTTCAGGTGGAGTATGCTGGACCATTGACTCATAACTTATGATAAAAAGAAACCTTTACAAAACCAACACCACATCACAAAGTAGAAGTTCAAGCATGGAAAGCATTATATCACAACACCAGTAGTGCTCTGATGAACTGAAAGTGCTAATACTCACTTTGATCTGACTTTGTTGGGGATGCTGGGCTTACATTCTCTGTGGAGCGGTCACTTCCCTCATCCAAGACAAGTTCAAAATTCAAGATGAACATTATTACCACGCCTTCTTCATTCTTCACTGGGATTATGTGGGTGTTACACTGAAAGTCAGACCCTGAAAGAAAGAAGTAATTAGTAAGTACCAAGACTAAACATGTCAGCACAAATAAAAAAGTAAAGTAAGTATGTCTAGATGTTTTTATAAAAAATAAAAAAAAATTGCATGCTTTAATTGTTTATGTAATGGATTATTATTTTGAAGCTGCTTGAGTCCTCCAGTCTCACAAAAGCAGTTTAGGGAAACAGTATTTTACCATCCATCCATCCATCCATCCATCCATCCATCCATCCATCCATCCATCCATTCATCCATCCATCCATCCATCCATCCATCCATCCATCCATCCATCCATCCATCCATCCATCCATCCATCCATCCATCCATCCATCCATCCATCCATCCATCCATCCATCCATCCATCCATCCATCCATCCATCCATCCATAATCTTCTGCTGGTTCCGAAGT